GGTATGATGAAAAAAGGTCAATAAAGTACAATGTCTTGAAATATTTATGAAAATAATCATTTTTATAAATTGACCTCATGGTTTGTCATATTGACTTGGCAGGTATGATGAAAAAAGGTCAATAAAGTACAATGTCTTGAAATAATTATGAAAATAATCATTTTCATAAATTGACCTCATGGTTTGTCATATTGACTTGGCAGGTATATGATGACAAATGAAAATGTGAAGTATGAGACATAGTTGTGCCTTTTATTACATGACATTTGTTTTGCAGTTTATCTGCAATGGAATGTGTGCGTGTGAGGCTATTACTGTAAACTATTGGGGGAGAATCCAGACTTGCTTCATGCTCGGCCACACCTTTGATATTTTTTCATTTTAAATTCCATCGATCAACTATGAATGATACCATGATAATTTTAGACATATAAAATGTCATTGATGAGGACTGTATGTATTTCTTCTGCCACATGAATATTTGTTTCATGTTTTTGAGGGTTGCCCTTTGTGGTTTCTTGAATAAATATAGACTGGGAAATTGATCTGATAAACTTAGCCTTTAGATTGGAAGTCATAGGTGAGGTGGTCTTAAGGATAAAGTAAAACTGAAAAATATCATAAAATTATAAAATCATCTTAGAATTCAATTTTGCCTATTTAAATTTGCCAGGTGCCCCTGCCCCTATGCTGTTATATTTTTAGTGTTGAAGCAATTTGTTCTTGAGAATTATCGTTCACACAGTTCATTTCATAAAATATTTCAGAAAGTTAATTAATTGATAAATATTTAGTTATATCACTAAGTAATATGAAAAGCTTTGATTCTTTTATGAGTTCAAATTTCCAACTGTGTCTGATGGGATTGAACAGTATTGGTAACTTAAGTTGAGATTAAAACTGAACACTTTACAACATTTGAATTTTGGCTACTCTCTTAATAGGAGACAATTCTTCAATGTGGTTTTATCCAATAAGAATTCCGAATCAGGAAAAAATAACATAATTTTCTGCTTACTAGTAGCTTTCATATCACATTTGCCCCCCCCCCCCCTAAATGCCATGAAAGCTTTATTTGAAATCAAGAATCTTAGCAAAAATGAAAACTGTACAACTAATCTACATAAAGGAGTCAGAATATAGTAAAAAAAAGCATTGCCAAGTATGAAAATCATCAGATACAAGTCAAATTCTTTACTTCAGAGAATATTCTCTGAAGTAAAGAATTTGACTTGTTTCTGATATATTAACCAGAGAGATGAACTTACATAGAACTATGAAAATCATCGTTTTCACAAGTTTTTGATTCAAATTAGACTGGATCTATGCACAACTGGAGAAAGAATACACCAGTGCTTCAGCCATGAGAGATTTGGGAATGGGGAAGGCCAACATTTGGCTGACCTAAGTACTTCAAAAGTAAGGGGGTAAACTACTTATTTTGCTATTAAGCTCATTCTGATTTATACCCATAACTTCACTGTATACGCAGGTGTCGAAGGTTCTTTGTTATCAATTTGATCACATGCAGAAGCACATGAAGTCACGGCAACTCATTTGAAAAATTAATAAGTGTCTTATGTACTGAAATATAAACTTGTTGCAGGATAAGTAAATCATAATTTGCAATGTCTGGTCTGTATCTGTAGATATAGGAATATGAAACTACTATTTAAGGTCTCAATAAATAAAATGGTACTTGATATTTCTGTTCTTTCCACACTGAAAATGTCACCCATTGGAGAGATGTTGATCAAAATAAGCTTTAACTTTGAAATATTGTTTTAGTTTATAGAGCATGCATTCACTCATAAATGATTGCTTGTTTATTTATAATTTGTGTAGAATTACTCCCCTTCACGTATTTGTTTGTGTTTTCTGTAAAACACTTTAAGTATATAAAAGCATATGAGAAATGAAGACTTCATTCAGTAGTTCTGGTTGGATAAATTGGGGTTCATATTCATTCAAAAAATTACATTTTTGGTTGATTTGGTTAAGAAGAAATTTTGAAGAGGAAAAATCAGGAACTGTTTATATAATATGTCAGTCACAGATATTGAAATGTCTCACAAAAGTTATTGTGTTTGTCTTTGATTTAGCTTCTCTATGAATTTAATAAACATATACAGGATCGGCCACTATATGCTATTTGGAGTTTCAATTAAGGGTGTTTCCCTTTTTGTTCTACTCTGTATAACATCACTGATTGCCTACAAACATTATACACCATTGTCCATAAGGCATGCGGCAGAAGTGGCAACTGCCTTACTAAAATTTTACTGAAAGTGTAATATTCAGACCGCTTTTTTACTGGTTAAGAAATTGATATCCAATAGTAGCATTACATCATATTTTATGTTATATCCTCTGAGCTATTAAAATATGCCTTGTCTGTCAGCCCCTTGCTACACCCCTGTATATGACATGGTTGCAAAAAATTGATGAGAATGCATCAATCAAGAACGATATTGATAGATTCAGTTTGACTGCCTTGTCTATATTTTTCTCAATTAACTTAGTGTATAATGAGTGGCTATTCTAGTGGGACTTTTTCAGTCACTGACTTACAATGCCTCGTGTGATGATACCCCGTTCATAAAGTACTGTACTAACACTGTTGTATTAATTGCAGAAAATGTCCTTACTAGAGCAGAAATGTTTAACAATGCAAGGAAACTGTAGTAGCTTTGTTCAGCATTGTCATCCTAATTACAAAGTGAAAAATAAAGAATGAGATTTCCAGCTTTCTCTAGTGAAGCCTAAGTCAGGCACAATTGCAATGTTACAAGAGGGTTTTTACGCTTGGTTTACAAATCCATCAAAACAAGCTCTACTGGACTGCTTTAAGTTTTCTAATTCTCTACTTGTTGAATAATGCATGACTTTACTACAACTCTACCATATGAGTAGAGAAATTTTCACTTAAGCACTAGCATCAAAGCAAAAATTACAGTTATTATCACCTCGCGTGAAAGATCTCTAGTATTCGTATATAATTTATTCAGAGAGGTGTTTATCCTTTAATGTTTAAAATGGCCTTGATACCAGTAATCTGTATGCCCTAGTTACATAATACCTGTCGCCCTCACTCATTCCCTTGTAGGTGTCTACATGTAGGTGGCAAACTGAATGATATCTAACAGGGTGCTCTTTGCAAGACTAATTTGAGTCATATTCTCTGACTAAGCATAATATATGCAATCAGAATTCGAAATCTGAAAATCATTGGGTATTTTTGCCTATACGTTTGTATTGCTGCCACATTCAGACTCCCATATATAAAGGACATAGCATGTTGTTGTACAAAAATTCAAACAGCAAAATCTCTCTTGATTAATTGTTCACACATTTTTCAACACTAAGGAAAACATTTTTCTGACTGGTCAAGTGTCCAGTAAAGTGACTGCCTGCCACAGTGCACATATTCCACAGAAATTAAATCTATTAATAATTGGATTGGATTTGATTCATAGTAAAATGTTCAATTAATTACAATTTGACAAGTAGAATATTATTTAATAACATAACATAAAATGATGTAATATATCTCCATCATGTAACCATGTGGAGATAATCTTCCTATATGTAATAAAACCATGAAATATTATGAACTATTTCGGGAGAGTCTCTTGTCCGTCCACTCCTGAGTCCTGAGGCAGCTTTAGATTTTTACAATGACAAATAAGTCAATAGAAGTCTGTCAAAGTTGACAATGACAATACCATGAATGTCATGGGTTGGATAAAGTCTGGGGCTTCAGGTACAAATGAAAGCAAGAACTTAAAAGCATGTATGATTATCTATAGCTGTATATATCTATGTTTATATATAGATGAAAGATACAGATATAGAAATATGTATAACCAGCATCCTCTGTCGAATGGCAGCATTAGCTAAACAATAAATTCCTAAGAGAATAAGAGACAATTTGAAAATATTGTGCATGGTCATTCAATTATGCACAGTGCTATATATGTAAATGATAAAGAAAAATGAAAGTATATACATACATGTCACAAGAACCTAGTTGGAGAAATATATACATTCACTTCAAAAGAACTTAAAGAAATATATACATGCATGTCACAGGGGCGGATCTGGGAACCAACAAGGGGGGGGGGGCCCAAACTTCTTGTCTGAGAAAAAAATGTCCGGGCCCCTAAAACCAAAATGTGGGCCAAAATTTTGAAATTTTGAGGCCCATTTTCTTCAAAATTTGGCCTAAAATTAAAAAATAAGGCCTTAGAAGGCCCATTTGTGACCAAAAAGGCCTACTTTTTGGGGCAACAAGGTCTTTTTTGGCTCAAAAATTTTTTTGGGCCCAATTTTTTTTTTCTGGGCCCACCCGAGGGGGGGGGCCTGGGCCCCCCCCCCCCAGATCCGCCAGTGTGTCACAAGAACCTAGTCAGGATAGTCAGGGAAATATATGCATACATGTCACAAGAATCTAGTCAGGGAAATAAATGCATACATGTCACAAGAACCTAGTTTGGGAAATTTCTATTTTACTGCATTCAGTACCTACATGTAGCAATTGAAAAAATTCAACCTTATATTTTTTAAATAACTCTCAATTTTGGAAGAATCTTAGATTTCGTTCTGTAGATAGAGAGTTTATGAAGCAACAGGATTCTAATATTTTAATCCCACAAGAGGTGATACGCCCATTGTTCTAGGTTCTTGTGGCGTGTTGCAGCAATCTATAAATAGTTATGGCAGAAACATTAACTGCCTTATACACATTCACAGTAATCATCTTTTAAAAGCTATATGGAAATGGCTGCAAATAAAAAATATTAATTCATTGTGATAAATGCATGGACTACTTTAATTATTTTGTTCAGAATAAAGTTTGTGTTAAAAATCGAATGAATGATATTCTTTGTTATGTTCTTATTGATACTGCATTATGGCATACATTTTGGTTGAATTATGTGTATCATTGATATTACATGTTTACATTGATTTATATTTTTGTACATTCTTTGAAAATTTACCTGAGTGGTAAGTGTTTACTTCTGCGTCCACACGATCTGGTTTAGCCAGATCCATCTTTGCGAGATCACCATTGTTCGACTCTGGGATACATTTCTTTAATTGGGGCGATAGAATTTCCCAGACTTCGCTCAGGTTCTCCTTCCGCGCGATTGGTGCAGAAATACTTGTTCGCCTGCTACTGATGCTGATGAGAGGCTCATCATCTTGTTTATCACTATCGTCATCATTCGCGTCATCATTGCACGTCGTAGTAGTGTCTTTCTGGCTGCATTGTTCAGCCTTGTGCTGTATAAAGTGGACAATATCTGATAGCGGGTACTCTGTTTGGCAAGCACCACAAGTCAGCAAGTCGTGGTCTGTATCAACTGAAACACATAGGATGAACTGCTTATAAGACATTTCACTATTTTCAATTTGAATAATGATACCTATATTATTAATTTATATGTAACATTATTAATCAATTTTTATATTTAAAAGCTAATTATAACATGTTTGATTCTTAACTATGAGTTCATAAAAACATTATCGTGTAAGATCTTTTGCTCTTTTCATGTGATGCTCCTTTTATAATTATCTGCTTTTTGTTAATACTACATGCAAAATATTCTTATCATTGACACAACATATTGTTCTTTTCATACACACTAGATGAAGGATTTTTTACTTGTGTTATCAATATTTCATTGATTTTTTATACATTTTTATCATTTTATTTTATCCTTTTGACCTTGTTAGGAGCCCACAATACCACTATAATGTCTGTATTCACATATTATACTAGTTACGAGTCACCACTGGCATTAAGCCTCTGTCCATTTTCCAACATTTATCTTTATAATTATCATATCATATTTCTCATGTCATTGCATGATGGCATATCTTTAGTTATTTTAGTGCAATGACAGTGTGTTCATTTGTATGTAGTATCATGTAACAATCTTTGTAGGAATAATAAAATTGAAGCAATCTGGGCTCCCATTATCCTATGCGAGAGACAAACAAAATCAGGTTGAAGTCATAAAATTAGTTGCACTTTCTTCTTTCATAACTTACAACTATTTTTGGGGTTGCTAAGTTGGTCGAGCAGTCTAGAGTGCAAGAACACACTCAGCTCAGCCCTAACGTTATAACCACGAGGTCGTGAGTTCAAGACGTGTGAGCTCCTTGTTTTTATTTAGTTACATTTTTCATATATATTCAAAGCTTTTTTAATTTTTTAAAATGTGTAAGTTGAGCACTTTTCCTACTTGTACATAACATAATCTATACATTTGAGATTTATTAGAACTCTAAGATTAATATTTGATAATCTCAGGGTAGTGTAAATAACCAATGGGGAGATACATAGGGAAGGTTGTCATTTAAAATCTTCAGTCTCCTTGTTATAAGAGATAACAGGAGTTATCTAACTTAATTTTTATTCCAATTCTTAAAATAACAACACTGTCAATTCCAATTCTGTTTAAATTAGAGTAAATGCAAACTATTTTTATTTACCTCAAAGAAGGGGCATGTTTTCGACTTGACTGCCTCATTTATTCAAGATCATTTTTTTATTTCTTTTTATCTTTCTCTATATCTTAAAGTTGGTCATTTGATTAATAAGTCTTGATGAACATTTCTGCTACATTGATTTGTTCTTGTTATTGGGATCAGCCTTAATTAAGTTGACCTACTTTGATTGACTGCATACCTACAGAATAAATCTAGGTGAGTAGACAGAGTTCCGTCTGTTGTCCTTCATTTTGCAATAAGAGATAAATACAACATTTGTTTGTCTAATGTAAAACAATTTCAAATAGAAATAAAGATTTCATTTACTTTTTTGTAATGTATGATACTTTCTTCAACTGTAAATTAATTCTTTTTATTTGTTTCTGATGTAAGCTAGTTCCAGTTGAAAATAAATACTTTAACATTACTTCCTCACTGATTCAAGCCACATTGAGCAATCTTTTCTTGTTGGGGGATTGTATGCCAGACTTAATGTCTGAAAATCCATATACTCTCTAAATGTTTATCTGGCCTTGTGGCCAGGTGATGTGTCAGTGTATGGTTTTACCTTGGTAGATTTCTACCAGGTCAGGTTAACCTGGAATTAATGGACTACATCCGAATCAATATATTGTTAATCTCGCCGTCTATGTACCATACATTGCGGATCTTGTTTTATAGCTATATTTTTCATTATTTATGATCAATTTATCAATATGTCCATTCTACACAGAGTCACATAGTGTATAAAACGTGGCATATTTTTTACATGATGGTTCAGACAGGTTGGAGGTAATAATGCAATGCCAGGTTTCTATTGGTTTTTTGTGCTCAACTTCATTTCAAATTGAGAGATCTGGTTTTGTCATGCATTCTACACCATGGGAATTCAGATTTTGGTCAGTCAACTTATTATATTTATATTAAGTAATTGATAAATGATATTGGACGAAGTTATTTGTTCGAAACTCTGTCACACTTATCCCTGCATTAGTGAATCAACTGGTACAATTCTATCAAATGGATGACTACTTATTCTATCAAACATGAACCAGTTAGTTGACTCCTGAGTCTATTCTGTCAAACATAAGACAACTACCTTTTGAGTCAATTTGATCAAACACACCATTATTAACTCTCGGTCTAATTTGATCAAACATACCATATTGACTTCTGAGCATATTATTTAGAACGTATGACTTTTGACTCCTAAATCTATTTTATCATATGTACAACTTTTGACTCTTGGGCCAGTTTTGTCAAAATATACCGCTTAGTTGTCCCTTGAGCCTTTTACAAAACATAAGACTACTACCTCCAAAGCCAATTTTGTCAAACATACCACCATTGACACTTCTGAGCCTTTTCTAACCTAAGACCATTGCCTCCTAAGTGAGTTATAAAATATTCTGTCATGAGCCAATTCTAATGATTTGACGATTATTGACTCAGTTGCCAGTAGCGTTGCAAGTAACTTTGACAATTCCTTGTACACTTTTAGATTCTTCAGCTTTCTATTAAGCATTTCACTATAAACTAACAATAAAACAATGACTTCTGATTATAAACTCATACTTTATTACACCTTAGCAAGGTCTGTGAAAAAAGTACTCTATTTTCATCTAAACCAACCTGGCATAACCACTGTAGAATATTGATGTTTTTGTGTGTATACCTGAAGTATTTAAATGTCTAGACAAATATGCCAAATCAATATTTTATGATTGCTGACCAAATGCATCAAGGATCAAATTACTTTAAATAAAAATGTACTGCTTTTTGTTTTGTATTACATTCATTAAATGTGCTGTAACCATGGACACACCCTGCACTATAGACTCAGAAACAAATGTTGCATGTATTATTACAGAATGAGAGTTTTTGTCTTGTAATTGTATTCTTAGTTTTTTTATTACATGTAAGAATCAAAATAACTTTGATGCTTTGTACCAGTGGTTGGTTTAGACATATGTCACACGTGTAAAGCCATAATATCATATAACTTGAGTTGAAAGTACATTTATTGCATGTACCGAGTGATGATGGTACCCACATATAAGTACAATCATAAATAAAAATGTGAAGTCAAATCACCATGATGAATTCAAAAGGCACCTTATGTCTTGAACTCACCAGCATAATTTTCGTAAACTCCTTGAATACTGAAATAGTTTAAATTTAGTATGTTGCATTTTGTCTAAAAATGAAGACAGCAACAATGCCAAGGGCTCCACAATTATTTAAATATTGAAAGGCACAGAGCTCATTGGTCTCAAACTTACAACTCTTGGTTCCAACGACGGCGTCAAGCTTAGCATATTCAGTGCTTTAGATGGCTTGACAAACTGGACAACTTCAATAAATTAAGACATACAAGTTCAGTTGTGCTTTCTGTTTTTTTTTACTTTTGAAACGCATGACCATCATTTACTTGGGCGCAACCTATAAAGTCTATAATGAGGATGAGGCTATACCCGAAGTATTCAATATAATGTACTTTAAGAGGTCATTTTGATCTCATAGTCAGTTCAATACCAATCTATTCAGTTCAAAAACCAGATTAATGAATGTAGTTGAATTATCTCAAAACTAAATGACCATTCTTTTTTAGGGTATTGGTCAAGATTTAAAAAGATATCAAATTCATTTCAGATGCCAGTCAGCTGCAGAAAATAAAGATTTGCAGACAGTTCCCACGACTTCCTTAATTTTTTCACTTTTGACATTTTTAATGAACCTTATTGGATCAGTCATATCTTCAGTTCTATTTAAACATGACATGTCAAAGCAAACCACAATCTATTTCAATAGTCTATATTGTCAATTGTGGTCAACATAAGTAACAAATCAACTGATCAATTGATTTTAGTGATATTTTGCTCTGGTCACAGTCTCTTTGTCCAAATTCATCAAATGTCATAAAAACTATGATTGGTTTTCACATTTTAATCTTCCTATTTGATTTTTTTAACCCACTCTTGTCATGTCATTTATTTCATTTTCCTTGAATTGCAACCTTCTTGATCAATCAAACCTCAATTAAGATTTCTTATCAATTATTCCGCTACCAAAAAAAGTTTAAAAGAGGCATATTCTGTTTTTGAAATTCTGTTAAGGTTATGCTGCAGTGACTTTCTCATCACAGTATGCACATGGACATCCGGTTATTGATACATGACATGTATGAAAGACAATTAAATTAATGATAAAAATGGTTAAAATGTTGATTGTTGTTAGTGAGATCTTTTCTTTTTTCTGAGTTGATCTCTTTCTAACATAAAAGTAAATAAGAGTAATATTTGCTCAAAAGAGACCCGCGGCTCAAATCATTGGAATAGTCGTTGGCCTGTGGTTGCTAATACCTTCATAATTTTATACAAATCCTGACATTCCTTACCTACAGATATTTTGCTCATGGATAATGCCTTTGTGTCCGATAATCAATGCAGTTCTTTTGGCCGTGCACTCATGATCAACTATAGTTAATTGAACAGGCCATTCAATATGCTCTTTAGATTTTTTTCATTTCTAAAGCAAGAATAGTACAACTATTGATAAAGTTTGCTGTTTAGTCTAACAACATAATTCTCTGCGTGAGACACTGTTGGTCATCAATAATCTATATAACAGTCTAGCATTGACCACAATCTAGTTGAATGCTCTTAAAGGAAAGTTTCATCGTGATTACTTTTGTTCCATATTCTCTCATATGTTTTACAAATACCTTAAGAATGAAATCGAATTTTTGTTGTATTGTTGCATCAATGACTGGTTTTACCTCCTTTTATATTCACCATCATTATATTCTATTTCAAGTTGGAATTTGCTTGTGCAAAATAATTTTTAGGTTTGCATTCTAAATACATTA